CTCACCCACATTCATTAATGCTTCAAATCAAGATGTATAGGTGGTGGTAGAATACCAGTGTTTGCGAGCCTTGTCATAGCCGTAACTGGGGTAGAGGATGCTACTGTAGCAATATGAGATAGTCGTGACAATCTGATGTCTCAAGTGCCTTTGGGTCTCGCTCACTGTTTGTGCCATCGATTAGTGTGTCGATCAGTTTGGCTTATTCCTCTACACTTGGTATTAACTGTTGAGATTCACTAGATTCACAGGACTCACCGGCTGTATGCTGAGGGGGTCCGTGACGACGGTCTGCTGTGTGTTCCGCCTGGTTTGGAAGTTCAGCAAGTAACTTTGTTTCAAGAACCACAATCCTTTGTAGAAGTTTATGGCAGTTCATGCAGCAAGTAGATTCCACGAGGCATTTTCTTTCTCATCTGTTTGAATGTAGGCAGCTGTGTTTTCCCGTCTTCAGAATGCAAGCTGCTGGCAGTGGGAGGCAAAGAGTCTTCTTTTTCGTAGTATTATTCCAGTCCTGAAAAGTTTTTAGTTTGTGTTTCTGACAAAAATGTGTTGTTTGAGCACTGTGCTGATCTGCTAGAGTTAGAATTTTAGAAAAATCTGAGAAAAGTACATAAACAGAGAGCAAAGCATGAAGCAGTAAGCAAGAGCGTCCGAACAGTAGCAAAGCCGGAAGCAAAGTCCATCACAAAACAAATCCATCAAGATGTTCCAGAAAACAAATCCAGAAACCGGAAACAAATCCATCATATAATGTCCAGAAACAAATCCATAACAATATGTTTTAACTTTAAACTGTTGCTTCTGGACTGTTTTGGGCTGTTTTGCTGGTAAACTGTGCTTGATCTGTGCACATTTCTCTCCTGATTCAGATGAGATGACATTTTTACTGGAGAAAGCAATATTATGGATTTTAATTTAATTTTTTTAAATAAAATAAAAAAATATATATGTATTTTTTAATTTTGATTGAACTGTACCTTTAAATTTAACAGATAACGTCCAGGCAGAAAATTAACAATATATTTTTCATTTTCTTTCGTTCTTTCGAGAAAATCATGTACAAGACAAATCATCATGATACATGAAAGTACCATCAACTTGACAAAAGGGAATATTAGGAAATATTGTACCATATGCTAGATTACAAAAATTCTTATATAATGCGAAAAAAAAAAAAAATTTCAGCATATGGTACAATATTTCCTAAATTTTATTAACGCAAACTATAGTCAAGTTCAGGTTCTTGTTATACATATAAAATGGTCTTGTTACAATATTAGTCTGTTGTACAATATTGTTCTAATATTACAATCACATTATGGTAACCTAAAAAGGTTAAAAAGTCACAGCAACAAATTTGACTGTAAAAAATAGGAAGTCATGAGAGTGATGTAACAAACATTTTCCTTAATAAAAAAAAAAAAACTGGGGGCAGTCGTGGCCTAATGGTTAGAGAGTTGGACTTGTAACCCGAAGGTTTGCGGGTTCGAGTCTCATGTCTGTCAGGAAGTGTTCACGGTGTGTGTGTGTGTGTTCACTACTCACTGCTGTGTGTGTATGCACAAATTCCGAGTATGGAACAACATCCTTGGCCACATGTCACGTCCTTTCCTTTTAAACGTCACACGAACATCAGCTTAATGCTACCTAAGTTTGGCATTGAGGCACAATGCCTCTCTTATAGCCAGTCTGCCCAAGGGATAGACTGCTCAAGACTTATTGTTCGCCTAGGGCACATTATCGGATTATCCCAATTCCAAATGAAGGGGAAGAGTGAAGAGTATTGCAGCAGGGCATGATGGAGCATTATGTCAATGTGCTGGAACACTTTGAGAGGAAAGAAGCCCAAGTCCATCAAGCCAGATGTCCAAATGAATAACAGCCCCATTCCAAGGTGATGTAGGATTCCAGAGAAAAGAAAATGAGGAGAGCGTGACGAAAAAATGTAAGCTCTGTCTGCTCAAGACCCCAACACAAAACAAAACATGACGAGGCCTGTCATTCTCCACTGTTGTGGTATTACCATCCCTCGGAAAAGTCGGGCAAAAGAATGTACACAAAGATCAATGACAACAACTTAAATGCTGCCAGCCTAACCTTCCCAAAACATGTCACAGGTAGAAATGAAAGGATTTTCTGAGCTTCATTTTCTCGCACGGTACTAAAAAAAAAAGGAATATTGCCTGCAGGACCAACATACTGGCTCCAAAGCGCCAACAGTAACCAGGCAAAGGGCAAAGCTCATATGTATTGTGGTCAGATAATGATTCCAGGGGTCTCTGAAATATAGAATCTTACATAACCCGTTCTTTTAGAATATAATAGAATAATAACTTAATATCTCGTATGACTAATCCTTCAGTGGTACATTGTATATCACCTTTCTATATTCTTCCATCAGTGTGCAATAGTGTACTTTGCCACCCAAGTCACCTTTTATCTGGGACATAAAAGGTTCTGGAAGGTGTGAAAGAAAGCATGAAACACACGGTACTGTACCATTTTTATGTGGTAGCTATAACTAATCATTGAGTGTGAGGACTTATGCTACAAATGCAGACCGTTAGGATGACACAGAACAATAACACTGATAAGCAACCTATCTCCACTGCAATCTTTTTAGGGACTATACCAGAAGATTGCTTTCAAGCTGTGGAATGTGGAGTTTCATCTATAGCAAGTTTATTGCTTTGAAAACAGCATAAACGGGAATGATTCTCTCTCACACACACACACACGCAAACACACAGCACTGGCTTATAAACACAGTATAGATACAGTCAGGAACATATAATAAAATGGGGTCATGGCTTAGTGGGAAAAACAGAAAAATACTGTAGTCAGTATAGTTACACATGAAGAAAAGACAAAAACATTGGAAAGTTATTGTTTCTTTTTTAAATGTCATATAAAGTAATTAAAGATACTAATACAAATATTAGAATATTTTTATATTTTAAATTTATATTATAAATAAAAATTTTTACAAAAGAGGTCAAATCAATAAAAGAAGAATTCCCTGACAAGATAAGATATGCATGTAGAAACATCTGTGACAAATTTTACTTAGATTTTTTTGTACCAGTTTTTGTGTATTGTGTATAGTGTTATTGTCACATCAACAGAGGAAGAGGACAACTGGGGTAACGTAAATACAAAGTCTTTATTTAAAAGATGTAAGTGAAGCAGCAGTGCAAGCAGGTGAGTGTCCAGTTCATAGAATTCTTAGGTGACTTAGCGGAGATGATAACTGTCCTATGGTCATTGCAGGTGCAGGATAGCAGAGCAGTGTTAATTTCGTTAACGAAAATTTTTTCTGTGACGAAGACGAGACGTTGACGAGCTAAAACTAATATCTGATGATAAAAACTATGACGAAATTTATGCCGCGTCCTCGTTAACAAGACGAGACGGGACTATAATGTTATTTGAGGACTACCGGACATTCAAAATACATCCTATAGGCTACTGTCTTGTCCTTAAAAATGTGCATCCCTGTCATTGGATTGCAATTGGATAAGGGGCATTCGAATATCTAGTCTAAGTCCATAGACTGTGATCTAGTCTCAGTATGGCAGCCACAGTGGATGGATAGACTACCAAAATGCGAACTAACAATCTGAAACAATAGAGCCTTTCGCACCGCTTTAGTTCCAGAACTAAATGTACAGTACTAAAGTACTGGGACGATTTTGCGCGAACTATTTCCCAGGAAAATTTAAAGGGTTGCATTCGCACTGACAGTGTGTACTAGGAAATGACGTAAGCCGGTCGACAGCAACGTCATTTGTGTGCGGCGTTCAACAACGGAAACAAAGAAGAACAACGTTAACAACAGGAAGATAAAGGATGCTGTGATCGAAGCAGTGTTTTTGTTGTCTCGCGGGTTTCACAATAATGGACATGGAATGTCGACGTATACGTAAAGCGATTGAAAGAACAGAAAGGAGGACTAAGAATCTCCAACGACAACTGGCAGTGGTACATTTGCTACAAGTGCCTTTTTTGTATCTCTTTCGTATTTGTCTAGTCTTATTCTGCTTCTTTTTCAAAAATGATATATATATTAAATATATTATACATGAACAACTATTCATTATTCACTAAGTCATCATTTTTTCAAGTTTTTCCAAATTCAATACTTGATTCAAATTTCTCATAAGCTTAATTGATTTGGTCTAAAGAGAGAAGAATAAATTACTATTTTTGTTTGAAGACTACAAATAAAATAGCTACCAAAATAAATGTTGGTAACTGCAGCTTGACTAAAAGATGACAAAAAAAGCAATGACTTTTCGTCGACTAAAACGATGAAAGACTAAAATGTGACTAAGACTATTAAGCATTTTCGGCTCAAGATAAAGACTAAGACTAAATCAAAAATGCCTGTCAAAATTAACACCGTAGCAGAGTGGATGAGAGGGCTGTGAGAGGGAGTGACAGTCAAGACTGTAGCAGAAGACAGGCAAGTATCCAATGAGGTAGTCAGAAACAATGACAAGCCCAGAAAATCTGTGTATGTGCTGTGCTAGTTTAAATAGATCTGTAGATGAGGGTAATGGCAGACAGGTGTGTTGATTGTGATGGGTGTGCAGGTGATGACCAGAGAAGATTATGGGAAGTGTAGTGTGTAATGGTGACAGGCTTGGTGACTGGAGATGGGGATCGTGACAGTACCTCCCCCTTCTGGAAGGCGCAACCTCATACCAAAAGGAGTCCAACCAGGGAGGGAGGGCAGACGTCCAGGAGCTGTGGCAGGTAACGGACAGGTGAATAGGGCGGTGCTTGCAGGTTAGGACACCTCCTGTGCAGCACCAACAGTTCAAGTGACCAGGGAGGCGCCAGCCACTCAGAGAGCCAGGGAGGTGCTGGCCATTCAGGTAGGCCAGGTATTACTGGTAGCTCGGGACCATAATGGATCAGATGGGATTGAGGACTCCATCAATGCAGCAGGCAGAGTTAAGAACCACCAAAGCTGATAAGGGAGGGCAGGAAACCTGGGCAGGGTAGTCAAGACTAAAGACTGCCATGGCAGAGCAGAAGACTGCCACGGCAGATTCGACAGGACAGAAGATTTCCACAGCTGAGTCGAAGAGCACGAGGGTGACCCAGGCGAAGCCGAAAACCACCAGGGTGGAGCAGACAGGATCGAAGATACCCATAGCAGAGCTAATGACCACCAAGGTGGATCTGGAGGAACAGGAACACAATGCACAGCGAGATTAGCAATGGCTTTAGAGGCCATGTCCAGGCAGGCCGTCAGACTTGAGACCGTCTGGAGTGCTGGCTGGCTTGAGACAGATTGGAGTGACAGCTGGCTAGAGATGGGCGTCTGGAGTGCCGGCTGGCTAGAGCCGGGAATCTGTAGTGCAGGCTGAGGCTTAGAACTGTCCACCTTGGTCGTATTTGGACAGACAGAAGACTTGGGAATGATCTCGATGGTCACTGTCAGGCAGACAGGAAATTCAGAGAGCTCAAGGATTACATTCTTGGACATGACTGGGTAACTTGGGAATTCAGAAATGGCCTCCCTGGCTGAAACTGGACAAACAGAGAGTTAACTGACCACTGCAGTTAAAATTGGACAGATGGGAGGCTCCAGGATGGCTCTGTAGATGAGGCAATACCTGCAGAGAACTCACAGGTCGGCATCGACAAAAGAGTGAGCTCTGAGGATTGAGTGGACTCAGGAGAGAACACATGGACATGAGAGTGGTATGTGGTCCAGACACACATTATGGCTACCGTTGCAACAGGGAGAACTATCAAAGACAGAAGGGACTCCGCATCCTCCATGTTGGAAACCACCTGACTGGGCACTGGTCCACAGACTATAACCTCAGGAGACTCAGGTCTAGAATTTATGACTGCTCTGTTAGTTGAGGATTGTAGTGTTAGTGTGGGTACTGGGCTGAGTACTGTGATGAGAGCGGGCATTGAGTTGAGCTCTGGCACAAGAGCAGGCACTAGACTGAGCTTTGGGGCTGGAGCCTGCACTGGACTCTGGTCAGGGGCTGGAGCCCTCTCTGGGCCTAACTCGGGAAAAGAAACCCTCTCTGGGCCTAACTTGGGATCAGGAGCTCTCTCTGGGCTAAAATTGGGAACAGGGGCCCTCTCTGGGCCTAAAGCCGCGGTCACACTAGACTTTTCCTTCCATTGACTTGCATTCATATGCATGCGTCAGACTGGAAATGCAAGCCCGTGCAAAGATATTTCGCTGGGTAGTAAAGTTAGAAGCCAATGTCACAGTGACCTCTCGGCACAGAAATGGAGGAATCGCTCATTTTAGCAGTTTAACATTTTCATCCTGTTTTATATAACACAACTTTAAAAGATTACAAAAATCAGATAAAAAGAGAAGCGGCTTGGTTTGCGGTGGCAAGGGAATAAGGAGCGGATGGTACGTTTGAACAGTGTGATTCTTTTTTTATTACATGAGATTTGTATGTGTGCGTGTGTGTACTTGATTAACTATACTTGTGACTGATTGTAATAACTTAAATAGAAAAGAATTATGACTAGTGAGGATATTTTGGTGCGCAATGTCATATCCTGCTCCCGCCACTTTTCGCTGCACTGTCCGAACAAATTTCACATGCTCAAAGTCTAGTGTGACCATGGCTTAACTCGGGAACAGGGGCCCTCTCTGGGCTTTCAGTGACTGGAATGGATTCATAGACTTAGGCAGGCTCTGTAACAGATTCAGGAACTGGAGAAAGCTCCTGGCTTAACTCTGTGATGAACGCGGGATCCAGGCTGGGTTTTGGAGCAAGAGCGGGATCCTGGAGTGGTGTTCTGACAGAGTTCAAGTGTTGAAGCCATCACAGTGTTGCATTCGGGCAATGAAGTCAATACAGAGTTGCATTCGGGCATTGGAGCCATCTCTGGGGTGTGTTCTGAAATGGGTGCTTGGTCTGGATGGCATTCTCGTATGGACATTAGGACTGACGGTAAATTTAGAAGGGACTCACCACAGAACTCTGAGACTGGAGACTCTTTACTGGGTTCTGAAACGGGCTTATTACGGAACTCTGAGATTGGAGCGGACTCATTGTTGAACTCTGGGGCTGGAGCGGATTTATGACTGAACTCTGGGACTGGAGCTGACTCTGGGACTGGGTTGACAGACACTGGGCTGTGGTCATGGACTGGCCCGGTAGATTACCATTTCTTCTTCCTCCGTCTCCTCCTTTGGCCAGAGATGAAGTGAAGCACTGAGGTTTTAATAATCTTTGAGGCTGGCCCAGACTCTGAAGCTGGCTCATGGATTGAAGCAGATTTTGGAGCTGGAATATGTTTGTGACTGGACTCTGAGGCCAGATAGAACTTGGTGGCTGGTGCAAATTCTGGAGTGGTTTTCACGGTGTCAGTTTCAGGCACTACATACTCTGCAAATTGATTTTCAGGAATATATTTGGGACTTTTACTCATTGGAATGGATTCATAATTATGTTGATTGGGTATGGATTTTGAACATGAGCCAGAGTGGAATTCATTTTCAGAGTCTTCCTGATGGAAATAATATGTGAATCCACAAGCTTTGCCACCAAATCTGTGCTCTTTGAGATAACCTTCCTCACGCGAGGGAATATGGAAGCACTTGCTGTGATATTTATTGAAAGCCGTCGCTGCAGTAACAGGAGACGTGGGGCTTATGGTTTCATCCACAGGGCAGTCGATAACCTCGCCAACAGTGAAGGACGAACCACTTAGCCACAGTGCATATTCGATATGGCGCTCCAAAGAACAGATTGTATCAGATGCCGGCATCTGTTGATAGAGATGATCATCCAATCCACCCTAGAAGATTGTTTTCAAGGTTTCTTTCCTTCTATGGAACCTTACGGGAAAGATCGAGAAATTCCTCAACATATTCCTCAATAGGACGGCCATCTTGAAAAACAGTGAGAAGCAAATTCACAGATAGGATGTCCATAGTTATTGCTGGAATTGGTCTGGTCTTCTGTCACATAAACAGAGGAAGAGGACAACTGGGGTAATGTTAATACAAAGTCTTTATTTAAAGGATATAGGTGAAGCAGCAGTGCAAGCAGGTGAGTGTCCAGTTCATAGAATTCTTAGGTGACTTAGCGGAGATGAGATGATAACTGTCTTATGGTCACTGCAGGTGCAGGGTAGCAGAGTGGATGAGAGGGAGTCAAGGCTGTTCCAGAAGACAGGTAAGTATCAAACAAGGTAGTCAGGTAAGTCTTAACAATGATGAGACCAGACAATCTGCGTATGTGCTGTGCTAGTTTAAATAGATCTGTAGATGAGGGTAATGGCAGGCAAGTGTGTTGATTGTGAAGGGTGTGCAGGTGATGACCAGAGAGGATTATGGGAAATGTAGTGTGTAATGGTGACAGGCTTGGTGACTGGAGATGGGGATCGTGACAGTTATTTTATCCACATAATTACAGTATATTCGTTTAATTGCTGATGATGATCATATATATTTTTATTCACTACCAGTCAAGGGTTTGGGGTCAGAATTGTAATTTTTATATAATATAATATAATAATATCTTATTCTCACCAAGGTAGCATTTATCTGATTAAATACAGTAAAAATTATATTCTGACATATTATTACAATTTAATAGCTGTGTTCTGTTTGAATATATTTTTATATGTTCTTTTCTATTCTTTTGACTTGCTTTTTTTTATTTATTTAAAAAAGCACTTGCATATTATTGCTCTTTTGTTGGTTTTGATTGCTTCTATTGTCCTCATTTGTAAGTTGTTTTGGATAAAAGCACTTGCTAAATGACTAAATGTAAATATTTCTGTGATGCAAAGCTGAATTGTCAGCATTATTACTCCAGTCTTCAGTGTCCGACTATCCTTCAGAAATCATTTTAATATACTGATTTAATATGAACATTTCTTATTATGATCATTGTTGAAAAAGTTGTGCTGCCTGCTTAGTCATCCTCTTTTGTTGACTCTGCAATATCATCGCAGGATCAAATTAACATGCAAACTCTTAGATGCGCTTAGTGCATTTCAATAATAATACCCAATCTAAGTAATTACACTCAGGCACTTTGCCAGTAAAGATAACTGGAATCGTTGATCAGAAACAGATAATCTACTGACCCAGAATCAAGCCAATACACAAATCATTTTACAGCTTTAGTGTTTGTGCACTGTTGGTTTCCATGACTGCTCACATTGGAAAGTGGGTTATATGAATATAGATGGCTTATGGCTTATCTTTAAAATCACATGCGGAAGTGCTGAGTTTCAAAAGCGGTGTGTGATGTGTGAACCGATCCTCAAAAACATACTCCATAGTAAATGATTAAAAGAAAAATATATTTTTCTGTTTTGATTTTTGTTTTGATCAAAATTCAAATGAAATTTAGTGAGGCTTATGCTTAACCCTCATGTTCGGTAATTTTGACTTGGAGAATATTTTCTATTTCCCTGAAAATGCTAGTTAATGTTAATGCATTGGACTAAAACATACTGACTTAATTAACACAGGGTATAGCCCCCCCCCCCCCCCCCCCCCCAACCCCCCCCCCCCCCCCCCCCCCCAACACTAATGGAATCAGTGGTCAATGGAAAAAGGACAGAGACAAATTGGACTCATTAATGGTCTAAAAGAGGTGCTTTGATCCTTGACCTTGGCTATTGTGGCACTAATGTAGTTATCCTTCATTATGTTATCCCACCTCTGCGCAAAAATTTTACTTTTTCTTAAAAATGCCAACAACAGTAGAAAAACAAAGCTCTAGTATTCAGCTCGAGCTGCCTCAGAGCTAAAAGACAGCCACAATACATCATTTGTGATTTTTACTTACTTTAACAGGTGAAAATTCATTAAGAGGACATACATGCGTAACACTTGTTTGTGATGTCTTTGTGTGGATGGTTTGTTTCAGATGGATGAGTAAACTTTGGTCTTGGAAATTTGGTCTTGAGAGGACACCGAGGTGGTGTAGCACTAAACAGACTCATAAAGTTTGGGCTTTGCTCCAAAGATAACACCCTCTCCAAACCATTATCTACTAGCACTTCTATTTCAATCCACACAAACACTAAAACCCATCATGTGCTCATAGATATATTGCACGCTTGCCCATAACTATAAGGTTTTCAGTCATGGCTACACTTATGATCTCTATAGCAAATAACTCTTTACAGTGTTGTGTAAAATAAGAGTTTTAATTTGGGACGAATACTGTAGAAGTATGTAAGTTTAGGAATAAAGAGTGATTCATATGCTGTTAATTTTACATTGACATACAGAGCAAATAGTGTAGTCTGATTCTTAAACAAATTACTTTAACTTTTTTTTCTAACAAATAGCACTGGAATCAGTCTCAAAGTGTTTACATTGTGAATCAGACTAATGACTCACTTTAACTGAATCTTTAAAATGTCTAACTCAAAATGTACCATGTTTTCTGTTATTTCATGTATATGGTTTTGACAAATCTTACACAATGAAAGCAGTATGTACGGTTAGGAATCAATAATTAAAGGGAAAAAAACTATAGCACAATGATATGATATTAATTTACATTAAAATACAGAGCAAACAGTGTAGTCTGATTTCATTTGATCATTTTACTGAAACACCAGAATCAAACTTACAGTGTGAATCAGTCTAATGACTCACTTAAACTGAATCTTAAAAAAGTCTAAATCAAAATGAACCTATAACCAGTTTTGTGTTATTTAATGCTTTCAAAATAAAGAGTAAAAGCAATTACTTTGACAAATCTGACACAAGCAGTATGTAGGCTTAGGAATCAAGACTTAAAGATGTCTGATTCACAAACAAA